TCCTGCTTTTCTGCTTTGGGAGATTAATCCTGGTGTGTCCATGCGTTGGTTTAGCTACAAATGCCTGTTCAGCCCTGGAGGGAGGAGGTGTTAGGGGGAGAAGCTCCAAGGTCACCGAGCTGGACAGGCTGAGCTGCTTCAGAGCATGGATGGGTAAGAAAATTCATGGGTAAGAAAACCTGCCTGGAAGGCAAACATGCACGAGGAGAATATTTGTGCAAAGTGGATTTTGCTGCAATTCCTGAGTTTTATCGAATTCAGCTTGTGTGTGGTCCTTCAGAGCTGGGCTTGGCAGCAGGAGACAAGGAATGGCACGTGTGGGAGAAATCCAGGACTTCTGCTTTATTGCACTGACACAACCAAATCGTTCAATCTGTTGCCTCATCTGTTTCTCGCCGTGGCTGAGAGCTGTAAAGGTCAGGCCGAGGCAGCACAAGGGCTGTAATGGTTACCATGCTGCACCTCCCAGTGTTACCAGCTGGCCAGGGCAGTCCTCCCGTGGCACATCCAGGCTCCGGCCCAAGCGTCAGCAGCATCCTCAGCCTATTTTGGGAACGCGTCGGAGCAGAAGTTTGGGAAGGTGACAGTGTGGGAAGCTCAGGATGGTCAGTGCTGCTTGACTCCAGCCTCCTGTGCTGCCCTGCCAGAGGGCTGGAGGTGTTCTCAGCTTGGAATCATTCTCATTCCCGGCAAATTTACTGTGAGTGAATGGATGAAGTAGTGAGTGATACAAATAAATCCATACAGAACTGCCCTGGGAGATCTGTGCCAGTTTGGGCTTCAGCATCGTGTGTGATACGACTGTGTGTCCTGAAAACAGTGCACAGGGTCTGTGTTCTGGCCTCCTGCTGACCCTCCCTCAGTTGGGAGGTCAATCTTCTGTCCCTCTCTGTTTTTCCCTGGGTTTAGTCCATGTTAAATGGTGAGGCTTGCATGGAGAGCAGTGACACTCTTGGCATTGAGGGACAGGCTGAGGGAGTTGGGGCTGTTCAGCCTGGAGAGGAGAAGGTTGTGTGGAGACCTCAGAGCAACTTTGGGCGCTGAAGGGGCTCCAGGGAAGCTGCAGAGGGATCTGTGTTAGGAACTGCAGGGACAGGAAAAGGAGTAATGGGTACAAACTACCAGAGGACAGGGTTAGATGGAATGTTGGGATGGAATTGTTCCCTGTGAGGTGCTGAGACACTGGCACCAGAGCAGCTGTGGCTGCTCCATCCCTGGGAGTGTTCCAGGCCAGGTTGGATGGGGTTGGAGCACCCTGGGCTGGTGGGAGGTGTCCCTGCCCAGGGCAGGGGTGGAACAAGATGAGCTTTAAGCTCCTTCCAACCCAAACCATTCCATGATTCTCTGACACTGTTTGCCCCCAAACACCACTTGGCTTTCCTTGCATTGTGGTTGATCCCACTGGGCACGTGCTGTGGGGAGAGCCAAAAATGCCTTTTGGTAGATTGTCCTGGCTGAAACTTCTGGTTTGGTTAATATTTTAATTAAATTTGCTGTGGAGCATTTGAAATTTTCTCTGTCATTGCTATTCAGGGAAAAGCATTGCCATAACTTGTTCTTCATATCCTGCTAAGTTATGCAAGTCACTGACTTAACAGAAGAGCTTTGTTTTCTCTTTCAACACTTGGAATTCTCATGAACTTTACATGTTTTCTTTCCTTAAAAAAAGGGGGAGAGAGATCACATTGATACATTTATATGGATTTGTGTGTGTAATACACCACGTGCAACAGTATATGGTGTTTTATTGCATCCTGAGCCTGATTTGATGTGTCCCATCCCTCAGCCTTCCATCTCACTGTGATTCCCTTCCCTCCCAGGTGCCATCCTTGGCAGGTCAGAGACCCAGGAGTGTATCTACTACAATGCCAACTGGGAGAAAGACAAGACCAACCGCAGTGGCATCGAGCCTTGCTATGGTGACAAGGACAAGCGACGACACTGCTTTGCCACGTGGAAGAACATCTCTGGCTCCATTGAGATTGTCAAGCAAGGCTGCTGGCTGGATGACATCAACTGCTATGACAGGTGTGTTCTACCTGGAGTTGTGATTTCAAAATGCTTTGTCCATATATTTACATACTTCATCCCTTCTGCCAAGAGTGAGAATACAATAGTCTAAATAATAGTCTTATTTTTAGGTGCTTTTCCCCCCTCAGTTATATTTAGGGACCAGACTTGATCTGAGTGCTTTGTGTTATTTGCAGAATGTGTGTTTTATCATAGAATCAGAGTTTTACCTGATTTCCTTACTCTCTATTCAACCCCTGAGGTGTTTAATTCATTTTTCCTTAGGCTATCAGTAACATTCTCTAATGCCTTGTGATGCCAAGCAATACAAATACAATTATTGCAACCAGAATTCCAAATTCCACAGTTTTTTTTCCAAAGCAGGGCAGTCAGCACTTTGAGCCTGCAATTTAGCTGCTCATGGAAGTGTTTTGGATTCAGAGAGCTCTGAGGCAGGGAATATTCTAAGCTTGCAGGCATTTCTTTGCTAACAGATGGTGCAGCAAGTCCCCACGAGCAGTGACAGCAGGACTTGGGGTTGGGGAGATGCTGCTCGAGTAGAGGTCATGACTCTCTTCAGAAATGGTGTTACAGTTCCTTCCAGTACTGTGCTAGGATTTATTTGCCCCAAAGTTACTGTTTGGAAAGGAAGAGAAGTCAGAAAATGCATTAAAAATCATTTTAGTCATATTTCAGTATCTTTTTCTTTGGTGTTTCTTAAGTGAGTGAGTGGAATGAATCCTTAGAGTCATTTCTACCAAACCAAGTTGCCCTCACACTGTTTCCCTTTCAATAGCAATTTAAACTGAATTCAAACAGTAGTTCCACAGTCAAAAAAAAAATATCTGAGATGAGGTTTTCCCTAGAGCCAAGAGAAGAAATTGGAAGAAGAACTCAAAAACAGGAAGGATGGTAAGGAGATAGTTGGAAAGTGAGTCAAAATGTGTCCTCAGTAACTAATTTGTCCTAGGAACACACACTGCTGTGTTTGTCCAGAACCCCCCAAATCTTATCTCTGGGGGCAGAGTGGTGTCCTGGACAGGGAGTTACAGTGTGATCAACTCCAGCAGCAGATTGAGGACATCAGAGAGTGAAGTCAGAGCTGGTTCTGTGAAACAATCCTAATTTTTGCAGATGAACCCAACACTTCAGGACCATCTTCAGCTGCATTTAAACCCCTCAATGCTTTGCAGCATTTTCACCTTCTCTTCCTGCTCTCAGGTTGGCTCTGTGCACTGCTTGTTTTCCTTTCCTGCCTTGAATAGCTTCAGCTTATTTGTGAGTGCAGTTCCTTTCCTGCAGTGTGTTCACAGAGGGGAACAAACTCTGTCCTGAGCATCATCTGAGCAGGGGAGATGGCACAAAATTTATATTTTTATTCTAAAGATGTACTGAATTGAGGAAACTTGTTTCCCTTTTACCCCCAAGTCCTTCAACCCTGTGCTGAGGGTTTTTGGTTAGATGTTAGATCATAGACTCAATCAGGTTGGAGAAGACCTCAAAGGTCAAGTCCAACCCTGTAATTCCAGACTGTGACCTGTTCTTTGGGCCTTTTCTTTACCTTTGTCTTAAACCCAGCAAAAATATGCTGCCCTGTGCTAATAATACTTCACTGCAATACCAAATACAAAGGTTTTCCTGCATTTCATCAGACTTAGCAGTTATTTGGGTCATGTGTTCTCCTGAACCAGTTAATGAAGTTCCCTTGTTAAATTTTAAAGCTGAGCATTTATTTTCTCTGAAGCAAGCAAAACAAAAACCCAAACAACCTCCAACTGGAGATGAATAAATATTTCATCATTCTCTTTTCCAGGAATGACTGCATAGAGAAGAAAGACAGCCCTGAAGTGTTTTTCTGTTGCTGTGAAGGCAACATGTGCAACGAGAGATTCTTCTACTTCCCAGAGATGGAGGTCACACAGCGTAAGTTCCTCTCCAGCACAGCCAGGAGGGCTCAGAAATGCTTCACCTTGGCCTTCAGGCTGTCCCAAATGCTCTGGTGTGTTATTCCTTCTCATTCCTGGCTGAGAGAGCTCTGTGCACTCACAGGAAGAAAACTGCCAGTTCGTTGCTTCCACTTGGAAAAGTTCTGTCTTGAGAGTCATTGAAACTGATAAAAGGTGTTTCTGCTCTTTCCCAGGATAATCTGAACTAATTAGCTGTTTTAAGATACAGAAGTTACTGTCCAGTCTTACCTTAATTGTACAGTTAAGTTTCTAGAAGTGACTATAAATTGCTGGGCTAAAAGCCACATCCTCCTTGTAGAATCATCAAGGTTGGAAGAGACCTCTGGGAGCATCAAGTCCAAATCCATGTGCCTGTGGATATTGCTTTTCTTCAAACAATTCTCTTTGACCCAGCTGGACCTTTGAATTTCCCAGTAAATTGGCACCTTTAAAAAGGGGCAAAGAATTTCCTCCCAGGCTACCACAAAATTCAAACAGCCAAACACAACAAATAATTGCTTTATAAACCGACAGCTAAAGGCTGAGTGGGTTTTTCTTGCCTATCTCCTTCCAGTTAGGGATCTGATCTTTGCTGGAAAACTGAATCGTGGTAATAACCGAGCTGCAAACAGCAAAAGTCTCCTGTACCAAAGAGCCAGAGGAAGTTGTTGATGAAATTAAATTTCTCTGAGATTAAAATAGCCTTTGTTGACCCAGGAGATATTGTTGTCGTTTCTGTCAGTGATGCTGCTAAGGCAATAATTGACATTCCTCACTCTGATGAACCTCTGCTGCCCCAGGGGCTGTGCTGCCTCTGTGTCAGCTGCCTTGGAAACAGCTCCAGCTTCTCTGGGGCCTTTCCTGAGCTCCTGTGCAAGTGTCTTCAGCCAGAGAACTCCTCCTCCCAGCAAAGCAGCAGAGATGCTGACAGGTTATTTCTGCCCTGTGCAAGGCTAAACCTCCGCACTGATGTTTTTCCTTCATGAGGTGATGACATTCTCACAATCTTCTAGCAGTACCAACACCTCTCTCACAGTGTGGATAGGTCAGAGTCAGTCAGGTTGGAAAAGACCTCTGAAATCAGCAGGTTCAACACCACCATGGCAACTAGACCATGTGCCATGGCCAGTCTGTCCTTAAACACCTGCAGGGATGGTGACTCCTCCTCCTCCCTGGGCAGCACATCCAGGGTCTAATCACCTTTTCTGTGAAAGAATTACTCCTGATGGATGGTGCAGCTTAGAGGCCCCAAAAGTTCCATGTGCTGATGTGTGATCTGAGTTGTTTCCATGCTTCCCAAAGTGCCAGCTGAAGCAGGTGTGGTTTGTGTGGGACTCTGTGGTCCCTGAGGTGCTCACAGGAACTGTTGGCCGTGGCTGTCCCAGACACAGGGTGAGGTTTGTTTCCTAACACCATGTCCTTTTTGTCCCTACAGCCACTTCCAACCCTGTGCCCCCGAAGCCACCTCTGTTCAACACCCTGCTGTATTCCTTGGTGCCTATAATGGGAATTGCAGTGATCGTGCTCTTCTCCTTCTGGATGTACAGACACCACAAGTTGGCATATCCCCCGGTGCTCGTTCCCACCCAGGTAAGCGCTGCAGCAGCCTCTGGGGCTTCCCCTGCTCAAACCTCTTCCTGCAGAGCATCTGGCACCTGCCTCAAGTCTTCTTACCTTCCTGGTTTCCAGGTGCTAACGCTTGCTCTCCCCCAAAAGCAGAAAATTAAGCTTTACTTCCACTGCCTTTTCTCCTTGATTGGTTTTTGTGAGCAGCTACTCAAGGTTTTTTTACACGTCTTGGGGAGGAGGAGAAGTAAACACAGCACTTGAGGTGGCAAAAGCAAAGCTGCTGGACAGTTTGTAGGTCAAAGAGTCGTGTGAGGGTTGTGCACAGCTGTGCTCAGGGGCTGAGGGGTGATGTGGATTTGGACTGGTGCATGGATTTGGGGTACAGGGGTCAGAAAAAGGGAATGTGAAGCAGAATTCCAGGGCCTGGCTCAGCTCGTGGCCTCACTGTGGTTCCTGTCATCTTTTCCTCTTGTTTGTTTATATATTTTCTGTTTTATCCTCTTCAGATGTTTCAGTTTCAGCAGAGTTTGTGTTTTACTTAGAAGGTATTAGGACACTGTGGTCTCCAGATTTGAATGTAAACTTGCTGTGCTGCATCCAAACAAACCTTTCCTGGCTCTGTGTGGTTCCTGCTGTTGGGAGGGTCCAGCTGATTCCTTAGGTGTAATTACTGTTAATCCTAGAATTCCTCTTCCTTCAGTTGTGTCTGGAGATTCAGCTGAGATTAGAAGGCTTTTATGGGAAGAGTTAAGACAGGAAATTGCTGAGACCAGAGCAGGAAAGATGAAGGAAATGTGGTAGTGGAAACAGAGAAACCACTTGGATTTTTGCAGCAGGAGTTGAAGCTGAGCTCAGTGCAGTGACCACCCAGAGTCCCTGGGGGTGTCACTGCCTCTCATACAATGATCAAATCAAATTAAACCTGTTATTTTGGGCAGAATTGGTGTGTCCATGCTCTGTGCCTCCAGTTCCTGTGGTGTTTCCAGTGGCACTGCCTCACTCAGGATGCTCCAGGAATCAGTACTGCCTGTGGTTGATAGATCAAGTTGTTTTGGTTTCAGCTTCTCAGTAATAGATGAGGAGAATTTGGGGAGAGGCAGTGGACATATGTTCTTGCCAAATGAAAAGCACATAATTTAGAGGAGAGAAGTCTGTTTGCTGTCCTTGCAGAGAGGATTGCAGCTCCTCACACTCCCTGCAATCTGCCAGCACAATTACTGCTCTGCCTCAGATTCCTGGAGCTGGGGCTTCACACCAACCCAGTGGTCTCTGAGCTAAGATTCAGAGCTGCTCATTGTGGGAGTAACTTCAGTGTGGCATTTTCCTCCCAAAGAACTGAAGCAGTGGATGGAGGGATGAGTTAAAGACGTGTGAGACACGAAGAACTTGAGTCCTGTGCTCTGTCTCCTCTGCAGTTCTTTCCTCTGGTGGTTTGTGCCTGGGACAGGAGTGGACACCTGAAGGTTTAATAACTAGGGTAATCACCTGCTCTGCTGCTGCTGAGATTGGATCTGTTGGGCTGAGGATGTGTTGGTGCTTGTTGTGGAGTAACAATATTTTCTTATCTGCCATTAAGGACCGAGGTGGAAAGTCAGGAAAAGCTCCTTCTGCCTGCAAAACCAAATGAAATAATTATGCAAATCCAATGGATAAATATTCTCCCATATGCAGCAGAGCAGTGTTTCCCTCTTGGAATTTGATTAGAGCTGATGTGAACAGGAGACAGAGGAAGTGGGAAGAGAGGGAAAAGTCTTAGTAACTTTAGAACCACGAGACGAACATTTAAATACTTGTGCAATTAATGCATTTAATATTCTATTTTATAATTAGGGCCTGAGTCTGTAGGCAAATGGATTGTTGTTTAAGCCTTTGTGGAGCAAATGTCTAGGTCAGGTGTATAGCAGGTATTCCCTGGAAAACAGGGAGGTGCAGATCAGGGTTCTCTCTCTCCTTGGGTTATTCACAGAGGCAAAGGGAGGACTGAGGTTCTGCCCTGGTACTAATCTTGCAGTGAAAAACTGAAGGGTAGATGAGGAATAAGCCAAAAAATGAGAAAACACTGGAGAATGAGCAATTCTGGAAGGATTAGAAGCAGCAATAATAAGCACAAAACCAGGGAGCAAAGGGGAAAGAAACAGTTTGGAATATTCAGACAACAAAAAGGAAGAAAGAGTAGGAGAAATATTTGTACCTGCAGTGAAATACAGAAGACAATTAGCCTTGGCTTTACCTACTGGTGTCTCTGTTTGTGCTCTTTGCTGGTTGTGTGGGGAACCAGCTCGTTCAAGCTGTCAGATTCCATCAAATCTGTCACTTGTGACGTTCCCAAATGAGTTATTAACAAATGTATGTTTGCTAAATACATCTGTGTCTCTGCACAACACTGAGGGAACTGTTCCTGGTGCTCCTCTCTCTCTCTCTGGTTTCCTCCTGCAGCAAACACACGTTCCAGGCCTCGATTTCCCTCTCCTCTTGAGCTCAGGCCAGAGTTGTCAGTCAGTGCTAACTCCCAGCGTGGTGTTAGCACCCTGTCAGCTCAGGGAAGGGACCAGAACCCTTTTACAGCACAACTGACACCAGCAACACTTGTGGTGTTTCTCAGCTCCAACATTTGACATCCTCACTGTGCAGGGAGAGGTTAACCTCTTGTACTTGGCTGCCCAAGTTAGGAATATCTCACTGGATCACACAGTTGCTTTTTTTTGCTCTGGGGTGTTTTTAAAAGAGGAGTCATATGTTGAGAGGGTTGAAAAAAGGCTCTAGAGATTCACATCGTGTCTTCATGACCTATTTTTGTGAAACGTTGGAGCTTCCTTGGGTCAGAGATGTGTTGTGGTGTTAATCCCTGAGCACAAGGAGCTCTGATCTAGGCCTGGTTGGTGTTACCAGAGATGTGAAAACTGGGAATGGATGGATCCTGGATGTCAGGGTGTCCACAAAACCAAGCCTAGTTGCTAGGAATTACCATCTTTCTTAGAGAAGAGGATGATATAGTTGTGCATTTCTGCTTTTAACCTCCTTTTATATCACTTTATTGTGCTCTGGGGGAAAGGCTTTAAAGAATCTTCACGTGCTTCATTTTTGTTCTGTTTTCCCCCACGTGGATGAAGCTCACTGCCCCTGTCTGTGTGGAGAATATCCCTTGTCTCCAAAGTCCTGTGCTCCAAGAATTAATTGAAGCACATGTATCAAAGGGAAGGAGATATTGACCTTATCCCTCTGACTCCAGAGGGTTTTTAAGCATGAACCCCAAATACTCTGTGATAGAGGTTGGTGTCTCCCTTTGCTTCCATCCATGATAGTTTTTCTTCAGTGTATCTTCTCCAGGGTTTTATTCCCTAAATTAGATCTACTTAAAATTTCTGGGATAACCTTTATCCCTTTGCCACACTAGGAAAATCACAGTTGGCTGCTGAAGGATGAAGAGATGAAATCAAGTGTTCAGGTTTTCTCCATTTTGGCCTTTCAGCCACTTCTTTTCTTCCTTCTTGTTGTTATAGATATTTTAACAGAAACATTTTCACACAGGAAAAACACAAGGGAGAGGATTTATTCCAAACCTGGAAAGAATAAAATATGCTGTTTGAAAAATACAGGGAGGGATAAGCCAAGATTTTTATTTACAGGAAATTCTATATTCTAATTCCATCTCTTTTCCCATTTCTAGCACCGAGAAAAGCTCAGAAAGGGGAAGAAATAGCTAAGGACTGAGTTGGGGCTAGGGAGGAGCTCAGGGTGGGAACAGCCCAGATGTGGTTGTTTACAGGGGGAAACCCCAAACCCAAATCCAGGGATTCTGTGGGAATGCACCAGGAAAGGCACTGCAGATAAGGAATCCTCAGTGTGTCTTGGGTAAATAGTTTGTAATCTGTCTTAGTTTTTCCCCCCTATGGTTCTAAATCTTGAGAGCTCTTAAAAAATGGGATTTTCTAAAAACTGCTTCCCCAGATTGTCAGTTTGCTTTGGGAATGAGCTGTGTCTCCATTTAAATAAGCCTTAAACACAGCTGTTTTTTTTTTTTTTTACATCTTCAAGAGGTATTCCCCAGATTGTCAGTTTGCTTTGGGAATGAGCTGTGTCTCCATTTAAATAAGCCTTAAACACAGCTGTATTTTTTTTTTTACATCTTCAAGAGGTAACAATACAAATCCAGACTTACACTATCTTACCCTGAATTGGAGCCTAAAGGGAACTTTTTAATTAAATTGTAATTAAAATGAAAACCAACAGTTTTAAATGTGTTTCTGTAGTGAACTTCAAGGTATTTTGGGCTTTGGCATCGATTCCAGCACAGCATTGGCTTGTAAATTCTGTGTTTTCCTTCTTCCTGACTTCCTGAAAGTTGGCTTAATTTCAGGATGGGACCTGTTGGAGTCAGGAGATGTGTATCCATGTGATAACCCTGGATGTAGGCACTGCTTTGTGCCTTACTCTCACCCACAGTGACTTGGGCTGTCTGTATTTAACAGCTGAGAGGACACTGAGGTTTTACAGTTCAGAATGTGGTTGTGGATAGCCCAGATTTGGGGGAAAAAACCCACATTGCTTGAGGCTTTTTGGTCTAATTGGTTACAAATATCATAATCATGTCCCTAATCCCTGATAAAACCTTGGGAATTAGTTTTCAGGCAGCATAAATAGTGTGTTATATGCATTGGTGTAGGTGATGGGGGTTTTGGAGGGGGTTGAAATGCTCCCAGGTTTTGTTCACAGGAGTTAATTCCTGGCACAAAGCACATATCTGCTCTCAGGTTTTGTTCACAAGAGTTAATTCCTGGCACAAAGCACATATTTGGTTTCTGGAATGAACTGCCCATGCTCAGACTGGGGACACTTGTGTTCCTGGTGGAGAGCCTGGTCAGTGCTCTGAGAGGGAGGACAGTGATGAGCATAAATGCATGGTCTGATTTCCCTCTGTGTCCCATTTACTGGGAGCTGATCCCCTCCAGGGAGCAGTGAGAGCCTTGGGACAGCATCCAGGAGGTTGGTCTTGGGTTGAATTTTACATCTTTTTGCTTCTTCCTGAGGAGTTTACCTGATTCTCAGGAGCTGGAGAGTGTTGCTGGTGACTAGACCCTTGGTGTGGGTGTTTGGCTCTGCCCTGGTGCTCCCAGGGGTGGGAGGAGTAATCCTGGTGGATCCCACTGCTGTGCCAGTGGCACCAAGCTCAGTTCCAGTGGCTATAAATCCAGCTCCAAACGAAGCTGGTCTCCAAGAAATCCTTGAGCCTGTCTGTGATCAATCATCCAGGTAATACTCAGGGTGTGCTTGGCAGTTCCCAAGCACAGGGAACAGCTCCTTGTGGGCCCTGCAGCACCCTGGGAATGGGAAGGGATGAGGGCTGTTCCATCACAGCTGATACAAGTGTTGGAATTCCATCTGATCAGATTGTGAAGGACAATCCTGAATCACAGAGTCACGGGATGGAAATTAAGGATCATCCTGTTCCACACTCTGCTCTGACACTTCCCACCAGCCCAGGGTGCTCCAACCCCATCCAGCCTGGCCTGGAACACTCCCAGGGATGGAGCAGCCACAGCTGCTCTGGGCAACCTGTGCCAGTGTCTCAGCACCTCACAGGGAAGGATTTCTCCCCAATATCCCTGTCCAGCCTGGCCTGGAACACTCCCAGGGATGGAGCAGCCACAGCCTCTCTGGGCAGTGTCCCAGTGCCTCCCAGTACAGTGTGCAGGAGGAGGAAGGAAAGTGGCTCAGAAGTGACACTGGGAGATGAAAGCAGCACAACTGCATCATTCAAACGTGTTCCAGGTGTCAGAGCTCCAGGATTCAGGTTTGCAATGGGTTTTGCTCCAGTCTGTAAACTCTTCCTGGGCCTCGCTGGGGAGAGCCTTTAACCGTGTGGTGTCTGCAGGGTGTGGTGTGCTCACGCTCACCCGTTTCCCCAGTTCCCGGGTCTGTGGGTTCAGTGTAGCCCCAATTTGTGCCGTTTGTTGATGAGGTTGAACTCCAGGGAAGTTTCCCATTCCCGAGCTCTGGCGCTCGGTGCAGCGCTGCCCTCTGCTGGGCGCTCGGGGCACTGCAGGGAGCGGGTCCTGTGCCTTGGCAGGTGGAACAACCTTTGCATGTGCTCTTGGTTCTGAGATCACTCGGCTCTGTCTGTCTACTAACCCTGTTTGCCCTTTGCTGACACATCAACGGTTTGTTCTCGCTGTGGTGATGCTCTGTTGCTGCTCCAGGTGTTGCTGTCCCCGTGGATCCCTCTGCTGTCAACTCTCAGCTAACTGATTTTGCCTCCTGTGCTGTTTTTTCACCCCGTTCTTGGTACCAGTAGTAATTTCTCTTGCTGTGTTCTCTCCCTCTCTGCAAGCATGCCTTTCACATAATGATTGAGGTAAGCTGCTCTCCTGTCTCTTCGTGGTTACGACACTTTGTGGACGTGTAACAAGTTGTTTTTGGGGGTGAATTATCATTTGGGCAACACATCTGTGAGCGTGTGTGGTTCAAACGTGCAGCCTGAGTCTGCTGGGGATGGAGTTTGTAGGGTTTGCTGTCCTTTCTGAGGCTGGTGAGGTCAAAATCACAGGGATTGATGGTGAGAGAAGACACAGGCAGCTCAGGGGCTGTGTCACCTCTGAGCAGGGACTGTGTGTCCCACCACAGAGGGTTTCCCTGGCAGCAAACAGCACATCCCACTCCCCTGTGTCCTGTCTTTGGGTCTCTGCTGTCCTCTCCCTCCTGTGACACACCTGGTGGAGGTGAGTGGTGATCCTGAGGGATGTGATAGGTCTCTGTGTGGTTCTGGAACTCACAGAAGTAAATCAGGTGGAGCAAAATGCTCTTTCATTGCTGAGTCTCTACTTCAGCTTTGCCCCTGCCCAGGAGTTGGTGTTACCTGTGTTAAGGTCCTGACACTTCGTGTGGAACTGGAGTCACTCAAGGCTCTTAATTCTCATCACTGCTCATTATCACATTAAATTGGATACTGAAGACACCAAGATTTGAGCTGCAACATAAATTCTTCATTCCCATTGCCTCTCCGAGGCTCTAATTAAGGCTGAAATAGCTTAGAAATGTAATTTAGAAGAAGACAGAATGGTCCTGTTGAAATATTTTCCTGAGGATGGAGCTGTGAGGAACTCTCAGAGTTCCTTCTGTGTCTGTTTGCTGTTTGGGCTCCAGTTTTTTGAGCAGGGAAGAGGCTGCAAAGGAGCTGCTTCCAGTGGGTTCCTGGCTGTCACCTCCTCTCTGGTCTCGGGGCCACTTAGGGAACTTTATCCCTGGAAGTCACCCTTCCTTCTTTAAGGAATATTCTCCCTGCATTAGTCAGCCCAAGGGAGAAGCTGAGGAATGGGCAGTGGGGTTTTTGGACAGCTGTGGCAAGCTGTGAGCCCAATATATCCACATGGGATCCCCATCCTCGGCGCCACAGGGGGATCATTGTGCCTGTGGCACGTGGAACATCTCTCTGTGGAGCAGGGAGAGCCCCAAGTGTTCTCAGGGAATGTTGCTGGGCAAAAATAGGCCCTGGAGTTGTGCAGTTTGGTTTGGAGAAAGTTGTTTAGAAAAACATCAGGGGGAAAATGAAAGGGAAATGATTCCTTCTGGTAAGAGCAGGAATTCTGCTTCCCGGGTGAGAACAGGGGCTGGGCTGGGGGTGTGGGATGAATCCCCAGGAATGGGAAATGTGCAAAACCACAGGAAGGGCTGACAGGGAATGGGGAGGTATTAACTGCCAGGGATGTCTAGGAAATAGGGAATTTGGGAAAGCATCATGGTCTGGTGGGAAACAGACAAATTCAGGTAGGATTTGGGCAGGAAGTTTGGGCACCTTGTGCCTAGTTTCACTTAGAACAATTACAAGTTGTGTTTCCAAGTGTTTGGAAGGACAGTTTGTAGTTGGAAATCAGGGACAGAGGTTTCCCTGGTGCCTGCAGTATTCCAAGAGAGCTTTGGCAGGGAATGAAAGGCTCCATGGGAGGGAAGTCTTCAACTTCCCTGTCTGTGGTCCCTGTCCAGCTCAAACTGCAGCTGGGATGGAACAGCTTTAGGCATCTGTCACTGACTGTTTGGATTTCACATTGCAGTGTGTCTCCAGCTGGAATTGCACTTTTTTTTTCCTAGTTATTAATCCTTGGAATTGCATTCCACTTTCCTTAAATTCCTCTGAGTCTCCCTGAAACTCCTTCTTTCTGAAGGATGTGTTTGTCAAGTCCTAAGAAACCAGAGAATGGATAGCTATCATTTATTATCCCAGTTTTTCCCTTCTTTCTCCTTAAAGCAGCTTTGCTGGGGGAAATGGAGGAGGGAACAGACATGCCAGTGTTTTGGAGGCTCTTTGGAAAACCTCAGGGCTGTTTGTTGGGATGTTCTCTGCAGGGACAAGCCAGTCCCATGTGGGAGGTTGGAGGGAACAGCACAGCTCTGGCAGTGAAGTTAAAATCTCCTTGTTCTAGCCAGATATGTGTCTGACACAGGAAGGGAAAGTGTCTCCAGGAGCAGAGCTGGAGGCTCCCAACTTTGCCAGTGTGTTCCTGAAATCCCAGTGCCTGGGATTTCAGGAACACACTGGCAAAGTTGGGAGGTGTGGAACAGGTCACACTCAAAACCTTAAATGCACCAAAGGTGCCAATGTCAGTTCCAGCTCTGAACAAAGGAACGAGTAAAGCTTGATTATCTTTCTTCCTTAATTGCTGCTGTGCTTTCCCACCTGGATAGATTATTCCTTAATTTTTCCTCTGCTTTCTCACCTGGTTAGGCTATTCCTTAATTTCTGCTGTGCTTTCCCACCTAGTTAGGCAATTCCTTGTTTTCTGCTGTGCTTCACACCTGGTTAGGCTATTCCTTGATGTCATCTGTGCTGTCCCACCTGGTTAGAGCATTCCTGAATTTCTGCAGTGCTTTCCTACCTGGTTCTCCAGGCCTGTCTGTACCTGTGGCAATGTTCCCTCTCCCACATCCCCTCTGAGCATGTTTTACAATCCCATTTCCCTCTCTGTGGAGAAGGTTCTGTCCTGTGTCTTGCTTGGTTGGGGAATTGGTTGCAAAGTGGTTTGGCTGTGTGATCCAAGTCTCTCCCAGTTTCCAGCCCCCTGACAGCACAGTGACTGGTTTGAACTTGCTTGCAGGATCCTGGACCACCACCACCATCACCACTGATGGGTCTGAAGCCACTGCAGCTCCTGGAGATCAAAGCCAGAGGGAGATTTGGGTGTGTGTGGAAAGCTCAACTCCTCAACGAGTATGTGGCAGTGAAAATATTCCCCATTCAGGTGAGCAGAACCTCTTGGGTTCTTCCTAATCTCATCCCATTAAATCAGCTCTTCTGGCCCCAGTAAGAGATTTTATTTACTCCTGTAAGCCCAAATGGAAATGGCTTAGAATCACAGACTCAGAATCAACCAGGTTGGAAAAGACCTCCAAGATCACAAAGTCCAGCCCTACTGTGGTCACTAGCCCATGGCACTAAGTGCCACATCCAGTCTCAGCTTGAAAACCTCCAGGGATGGTGAATCCACCACCTCCCTGGGCAGCACATTCTAATGCCTGAGCACTCTCTTGGAGCTGAACAAGATGCAGGAAGAGTTTTATTGACTGAAAAGAGCAATTTTAACACAACAAATATATAATTGAAAGACAAACTTGGTGAAACTTGTGTCTAGTCAGAGTTACACTCTGAGCATCACGAGCTTTTCTCAGCTCTCACACACCTCTTGGCCAGTTAATACTCACATCCAGCTGTGCCTGAGGAGTGTCCTGAAGTGCAAACCTGGAGGGTGATGGGTGCAGTTAATAGGCCTCAGTGAGGTGAAGTAACACTCTCTCCCCAACAAGTGCCCTGGACAGCTCTGGGTGACTCAGCTGTGCTCAGGGTGATCCTCCATGGAGATACTGGGATGGATTTTGCATTAATTAAACCCACCCACTGCTGCTCCAGGTGAAAACTGTGATGCTGACTCAAGGCCTTCCAGGAAAAACTCCCTGGATTTCCTGACAGCTCATTTACAACTGCACTGTCAGTGTCAGGAGCAAACTTCCCTGGGGCCTGTCCCTGCCATTCCCTTTCCTGGTGCTGAGGGCTCTGTGCTGTGTTTGCAGGACAAGCAGTCGTGGCAGAACGAGTATGAGATCTACAGCTTACCTGGGATGAAGCATGACAACATCCTGCAGTTCATCGGGGCCGAGAAGAGAGGCACCAGCATCGACGTGGACCTCTGGCTCATCACAGCCTTCCACGAGAAGGTGAGCTGGGAATTCCTGCCCTGGCCAGCAGGGAAACCTTAGGAATGCACAGACACAACATCCAAACCAGTTTGGGTTTGCTCTCAGCTGTTCTCACTTCCTTGGGCTGAATTTGTCTTCAGCCTTTGCTGCATACAGGATTGGTGTTAGATAAGGCTAAGAGTTGTATTAGAAAACAAACAAAAACTCATTCCACCTTTTTTTAATTTTGGTTTTTGGAACAGATATTTTTAAATTCCCTCACCTAAACCTGTCTAAATGAATGAGAAACTCCAGCTGGCAGAGATTTTGGGGGGGTATTTTTGCTGGTCTGTGAAAGTGCAAGTAACACACATCCTGTCCTGAATAAGAAACATAAACCTGTGGAATGAAGAATTTATTTGGTGTTTTGTCTACTTAGACTATGTTGTAGTTCACATAGAGGCACAGAGATGTAACTGTAAAGAGAACAACAAACCCAACCCAAACTTGAGCCCTGGCATAGGCAGAGGCCTGAGGAGGGTGTTCCCTGGGAAAGGTTTGGGAACATCCCAATCCATGAGAATACTCAGGATGGGGCCTGGGGCCTGTTGCCAGCCAAGACTAAAACTGTCCAGCTAGCTAAAATGTTTGACAGCTCTTCATGGTCAAGTAGATAACACCAAACTCATTTGCCTTTCTTATCTTCCTGCCATTTTTGTTTGGGGTTTTTTTGGCCTAGGAGTTACAAAACCTTGTTCCTGTTGGAAAACCCACCCAGGAGGGCTCTGATGGAAAATACATGGGTTTAGTTCTCCTTTCAGCCTCTACACTCTGCCAACTCTTTGGTTATTTTCCCTTCTCCCTTGGCTTTCCATGCAGCAACACATGACCCAGGGACACCTCAGCTGGGTGACCTGTAAATCCATGGGGGAGGCTGGAGAGTTTGGAGGGCTTTGTGTTGAGTAATTTAGGTTTTGTGTCTTTAACACTGTTGCTGGCCCATAAGGAAGGACGAGGTGTCAAAGGTCCTAACAGTGGCCAGCAAGACTAGGAGTTAGCTTTGGGCAGAGGAGTGTGGGGTGTGTTGTAGGAGGTTGCTGGATGCTGTGACTGACTCTGTGTGCTGTGCAGGGCTCCCTGACAGACTTCCTGAAGGCCAACGTGGTGTCGTGGAATGAGCTGTGCCACATCGCCCAGACTATGGCCAGGGGCTTGGCCTACCTGCACGAGGACATCCCTGGCCTCAAGGATGGGCACAAACCTGCCATCTCACACAGGTACAGCCCCAGGGCCTCCCAGGAGGGGATCTGGGAGCCAAACTGCTTCACTGATGGGGAAAGAGGGGAGAGGTACCCACGGGTGGGAATCCCTAGCTAGAGTCCATTACCTGTGGTTCCTGCAGGAGGTTGTTTGTCTATTAGAAACCATCAGGTTCTTTGTTCCAAGTGTCTTGTTCCCTGTGATTTAAGCAAACAAGAGGCAGTTACTGCACACTTCAGTCACAACTGCATTTTCATCCTCTCTCTGCATCACAGTGCTCACAAATCTGGGTTTGTTTTGAACCCAACACAAACCATAGTTCCAGTTCCTGATCCAGGTATTCCCATCAAAGCCAAGGTGTGCAAGGCTCCTCCAGTGTTTTACTATGATTGTTTTATTCTTTACATGATCTCTCATTTTCTTGCCTTCGTATCATAATGTTCATTGTTTTGTTCCATATCTTTGCTGATGATTTGGATGAGG